CCTGTACTCACATGGGGTCGGAAGCCAGAGAAGCGGATTGTGATGATTTCTCGAAGACGAGTTTCACCTGCAGGTCGGCTTCTGATTGTGGCGGAGTCTGCAGTACAGACGTGGGGATGGCGAAGAGGCGCAGCGCCGCGAACGGGTGGTAATACAGCACTCGCTGGTCTCCGTGCAATTGCGCTCCGAATATGTTGGTCTCAGGCGATAAAGCGATGCCTACTACTGCGTCCGGGAGGGTAAACGACTCCCCGGCGATCTGTGACAAACACAGTCCTAGATTTGGTGTTTATGCTGTGATAATTGCTGGTTGGTTTTCTAATTCTTATTATTCAGCTTCAGAGATTGAAAAAAAAGTACAAAAGCTGTATTTTATTGCATATTAACTCGGTGAGATCAACTGTCACGTTGAAGTAACTCTTCCTTTTGTATTTATGGGTTTTGTATGATTCTCATTGCAAACAGAGATTATTTCCTCAGACAGCATTAACTGGCTGATATTTGTAATGGTGAAGTGTGACGTTCTCTTTACGGTATAGACTAAATTATCAAATTATTTTTACGAGTTTCAGCTTCGAAGAGGTAACTGACTGTCTAAAGCTAGAAGACTGCTTTCTGATTCCCGAAAAAAGCAGGGATTATTTGTTGACGTCACACATCCGCTATGGAGCTCACCCAGTGCCCGACGAAAAGCTTCGTGGGTATGAACCTAATTACTTACCTTCATCTACTGTCCAGGTTAAGAAATGGGTTCTCGTAACGTGGTGCTGAAGTACAGCGACAACTTTGACGTTTTGCATATAATTTACTTGCACAGTTTTTCAATCATTGTTGTTAATATAAATGTCAGATTCATCATAAAAACTTATCCATAACCATGGGGGGATTAGATAGATTAATACAAGTTTCGTTCAGTCGCCTAGTCCTTGATGACGATACGTCAAACTCCAGCTCTCGCGAAATTCTTACTTACGTTGTACGTGCTGTGGTCGGGGTGAGGCAACATGCTCGGGTCGAAAACCCTCCAGGAAGCGGCCCTTCTCACGTCGTACACAATAATGGCCGCGCCAGCGGTGTCAGTAATGTATAGGAAAACGTCGTCACAGGTCTGTTGCTGGAATCCGTAAAAACTGCCAAACCCTCCCGCCGTCCCAGCAACCTCGTAGTCGATCACCAGATTCGTCAACAGCGAGTTGGGCCTCAGTACCTGAGATAAATAATGTATTCGATACATTTTTATGCATCTGTTAAACATGTGGTATACTTGCAGTTGAAGTTCTTTTTCAGTTGTTTTTCTACCAGCTCGTCTCGCTTTTCACAGTTTCTATCTGATAATATGTGTATTTCTTTATGAACTTCTTCTGTTCATGAAGATGGCTGTCTTCTGGGTTGTGGTCATCCTCATGCGATGATTCAGGCAGCAAGGATCTCTTAAACGTCGGTAAATCTCTGCCAGACTACACGGCGCTACAACCCACAAGATTGGATTGAACGCCGTGAAAACCTCAAATCCTGTTCTTCTATTTGTTTGGTTAATTTAAATAACATTAAGGATGAAAAATTACACAATGTGAAGCTTATTTATTTAACTCTTCAAACACGTAGTACTGAAACTAAAAGTTCATTAGGCTCCCAGAGGTAGATCGTACGCGCATTATAATGTTGGCAAGTGATTACCTGTCTGGGCAATACGATGTTGTGGACGAGCGAGTCAGTTTTGAGATCGAACACGAAGATCTTCGGGGGACAGACGGGCGAGTAGTCGTCCAGGGTAGTAATGACGCCACTGTCCAGCACCCACAGTCTGTTGCAACGGTCCACACGCGCGCGGTACACCGATACCAGACCGGTGCAGTTCCCGGCAGTCCCCTGCCACTCCCAGCCCGGGTACGGCTGTAAACAGACGAGTGATCAGCTTATTTCCAGGATCGGAGGTGAAGCCTCGACCGAGGACCGATTTGAAGACAACTTTCAGACCTGGTCTACACTCCCTCTTTGTATTCTGGAGGCCACGGTTCAAATCTCGGCCCGGAGACCGGCTGTCCAGGCTGAGATTTTACGACATTTACGTCAGTCGTTTCAGGAAAATGTCGAGACGCTGCCTGCTAAATATCAGTTCTCAGTTGCTTAATACTGATGTATATTTTCAGGTATGAAAAATAAATGCGAATATATTGACAGAACAGTCGTGGACAGCTGATGAGTGATGGTCATCCCAGGGAGGTCCATTATCCCAAAATGTTTGGTCTTGCTATACATATACAAAGGTCCCGGATTTACTTTGAAGACTTGTAAGGAGAGGTTAACATTCAGATGGATTTGAGGAAGGCGTGTGAGAACGGGAGATGGTTGAAGTGGCTCCGGATTTTATTCAATGAATGGCTTTAGTATTAGCAGCTATTGCAGTGTTTGTTACTTTGCGAGAACATTGTGTGCTTCAGAACCTGTAGTGGGGGCGACTTTCCAACGTAGGAAGCAATCGGATGATCGGGCCGAGGTAGCCAAGTCAAAGTGGCAGGTACTCCACTTCGGAGATTCGGCAGTGCCAGGAAGATGCGGTCCGAGGTCACTTCCAGCCCGGTGAACAGGTTGTTCTGCGGTATATAGTTGTCATCCGGCAGGTCGTAGCTAAGAAACGTCCATTCGTAAAGTGTCTGGAAGTTCTGTTTGGAAGCCGCGGAGCCAGCCAGCAGTGACACCAACGCCAGAACCAAAGTAGCCGTCATCCTGCCACAGAAAGCGTTCGGTCTTGCGAGTCAGCTTCTACACCAATAAAAATTTCATTTTAGTTGTTCATAGAGATTGTATCGAATCGAGTAGCTAAATAACTGCATGGAACAGTGTCCTTATGAGAAACTAATAGAGATGTTTTGTCTTTTAGGGAGCCCGGAGTCCCTTTCCTGGGTCAGAGGAATCTATTTCATACACTTCCACCCTACTTCTTTAAGATAAATTTTAATATTATCACTCCTTTTGCGCCTAAGTCTTCTGAGTGGCTTCTTCCCTTCCTGCTTTCATACGAAATTTTGAAGGCATTTCTCATCTCCTCAGTAAGCCCACATATCTCATATTAATTTATTTTATTATTACAACAAATTCTGGCTTAGAATACACATTACAGAACTTCTCACTATTCAGTTTTCTGCGTCAGAGTGTCCCTTGTGAGCCCAAATATTCTCCCCAGCACCCTGTCTTCAAATTCTCTCAATCTGTGTCCTTACCCTAATGTGAGACACCAGTTTTTGCACAGATGCTTAAGAACAGGTTCGATTATAGTTTTTAGCTTTTAATCATTACGTTTAGACAGCAAATGGGTTAACAAATTATTCTGAACAGCAAGGTAGCAAGAATTTCCTGAGATTAATCTGTCGTAATGTCTTCTTAAATGCAATTTCCATTCTTTATCGTCGTCCCCAGTTAATTTTGATATGTTTTAAAAGGGTTTCTTAGCCATCTTTGTGTTATGATTTTGTCTTCGGCTCTTTTGACGATACATAAATATTTTCTTCGTGTTATCTGTATTTAGTTCTAGACAAACTTTCTCACTAGCGTGCACTTAATACAGCGCCTACATTTCTCTTTATTATATCTACAAATCCACATAATAGAGTAAATCGAAATTGCATTCTTGGTTAAATTAAAAGTAGATTAAACTCGTAAATTTCATATTACCGTTTATTTCGTGATCTGTCCTCTAAAATTTTAGACTTGATAATAATGTGAGCAGTGTAATTTCTTGGCAGACTTCATAAGGAAGACAGCGCTTGATCAGAAACCTAGTTACCGAATCAGAATCAAAATGCGATGGTAGGAATTTTTATTTTTCCGTAAAATTTTGTTGTTTAATGCCATGAATTCCATAGCCACGACCATTATTTGTATTTATTTAAAGTTGATTTAACGATGCTTTTTCAGTAGCTCTGACCGTATAGCGTCGAACATCCGTTATAGGTGTGGCGCCATCGTAAAAAAAAAACGTGAAGCGGTTTTCCAGTACGCATTTGCAAGATCTTCTATAATACTTCCCTGGTCAAATGTAGGTATGTAGACTAGCAGTAGAATTATTGACCTGTTATGTGTCATACCATAGGGTGTGGAGATTATTCAGCCGCGGGATATTATCAGATTTCACTTTTTAATTCTGATTTCCTGTTAGTTTTGTCCGAAACAAGTATTCTGCTTGCAGCTGTAGTGTATCTACGCTAGCAATATCCGTTTAATTCAATTTAGAGCACTTTCCTTTCGCTTTAATAAAGAAATTCGTTTCAAGTCAGAATAATATTGCAGTGACATCATATGCTAAATTTTGCTGGTAAAATTTTGGTGAATGTAGGTCGAATTCGAAAATTGCTGACGCAAGTCAAAAATCAACGTATCTTGTAGTCTAGAAATATTTCAGATTTATTTCTGAACATTTCCAATATTCTACATGTGTATCTAACTAACTAACTAGATGGCTTACCGAACCCGAAGGTTCATCACCGAATTAACCAAAGCCCTCCACCGGACCCTGTCCTGGGCCAACAAAATCCAGTCTCCTTCAACTCCTATCTCCCATAGATCCCACCTGAGATTATCCTCCCATCTACGTCTAGGTCTCCCCAGAGGTCTCTTCCCCTCAGGCTTCCCAACCAATACCCGGTACACACCTCTTGTACCATCCATGCGCGCTACATGCCCAGCCCATCTCATTCTTCTCAACTTAATCGCCCTGACAATACTGGGGGAGGAGTACAGATTTTTAAGCTCATCATTATGAAGTTTTCTCCACGCCCCATCGTCTTCCCTCTTAGGCCCAAATATCCTCCTCAACAACAGATTCTCAAACACCTGCAATCTGTGTTCCTCCCTCTGAGTGAGTGACCATGTTTCACACCCATACAAAACAACAGGTAAGATTATTGTTTTGTATACTTTAATTTTTAGACATGTCTATCAATAATAATTATTTTACTTTTGGTGTCAGTTTCACTCGTTCAGTTCATAATAACAGTATTGCAGATTCAGTTTTGTGGGCCTATCACAAGCACAGAACTGAACACGTCCCTTCGCTTCTCACAGCTCTTTATTATAAAGCGATTTATTATTCTTCCATGAATCGTACGAACTGTTGTCTCATTAAGGCACGTTGCCCATTCGTATTTTTTTCGTGCACTAGAATTTGGCAATCTAACCGGTTCTTATCCTAACCTAACCACAGATGGCTGTTGCAGACAAAAGGTTGAAAGTTGTTAGTCGTGAACGAGTGTAGTGTGTGCCTGTCCCATTTAACGAGCTAATAGATTTTGAACTGCTGGCTAGAAACTTTCATAACACATCACACGCCCTTTTCAAGTTTCTCGCGTAATCGATTTATGTTCTGAATACCTGATGACCGTTACAAGCGGAATGTGGCGTCTACGTGATTTTATGCAGTTCGTCCAGATTAAAAGTGTGGATTCCATCTAAAGCAAGTTGCTACCGTTGTACCCAATAAGCCGGGAATATGTTTCGCTGTTATTTTCGGGCAAATTAATAGACCAAGAATGAGGGCAACACATGTGACGAATCACTGAATTTATCATTGGTTCGTCAATGTCGACACACCCGGAAAATAATACGTAGAATTATTTATAAAAAGTATCATGGGAGCTCCGGAGATCCGATTCCTTGAGACGCTGAGAAAAGGCGTTCTACTGACCGTTAAGAAAACATCGGTAGGCGACATCGTTGTTATTGATTTCCCTCTCCTCACTTACTGTGAATTACTTTAATAAATCTGCTGACGTGTGTCACCCACCGCACGCAATGCTATGAGTAAACGTTTCTACCAGACCCTTCTTCCCTCTTGTCATTCATCTGGCTACCAAGATAACCTGTCTGCACAGACGAACACCACCTGCGACCTATTTCCGATCTGTCTGATTCCAGGCAGGATATAGTGTAAGTTCTCAACTTCAGAGAGTTTATTTACGACAATTAATAAACTCCATTAGACTATGTTTTAGAGTTCAGGCCAAGAAACTTACATCCGTCTTTGGACATATACGCTTTTTATCTCGTGAAGACAGTTGGCATGTTAGCATCAATCACCAGCTCTACTCGCGAAAGCTCCGTGTAGGAGACAGTATTTTATATGCAGCTCAGATAGATAGTGTTCCTCCTTCGTGGTGGCGGTCTCCACTCACAAAGTTAAAAGTGAAATTACGCTGGAAAACTGAAAGTACATGAATGAGGCAATTTCTGTTTCCGTGCCCTGCTAAGTGACTTTAGTAAGTGACCTTTGTGCAGGGGCAGAGGAATGTTGCTATATTTATATATGTAAGAATGTAGTCCACGTAGCGAGGAACTTTCTCATTTCTATATTCCTAGTCCTTATTCGCCTTGTGGCCTTGTATGTGGTTGCTATAATTTCGGAGGAAATAAAGATGGAGGTTCTACTTCCGGCCGAAATGTTGGTGGTCACTTATAGTACCACACGACATCACAGCACAAAATACCGCAGTTCTTGCACTTACATAGTTTTTATTTTGAAGTAATTTCTACGAATTAAATTTTTTTTAACGGAACTAGTTCACTTCAAAAAATGTATTTCTTTTTATGATCAGTCATAATAAATATCCGAGCGCTTTTGTTAATTTCTTCGTATTCATACAATGAATAATATGTTTAACCTAAATGTAAAAACGCCTACTTTCAAAACTGTTTATATATTTATGCCAGTCACGAAATCTAATCAATGTTCAGTAATGACAATGAGAATATTATGAGAGACGTGAGGACATTAAGAAAACCGTATGTGATAACAGTTTTTATTAACCAGATTCATTATCCAGAAACTGACAGTCGCTCAGTTCATCACAAACTTCCCGCATTTTACGGAATCTGATGGTTCTTTACAGCATTACGTCCTATCCTAAGCCAGATGGATTCTGTCTACATCATATTTATTTAAGATCCGTTTTAATATTATCCTCCCTTCTCGCCAATATCACCCACCTTGCTTTATTTCTCTACCGCAACAATACTGGAAGACTTTTAAAATCACGTCGTGTGATATTTTTCAATCCCCACCGACTGCGTCCTTGTTAGATCCAGATATTCCGAGTCCTTTGTTTTCAGTGATTGATGTTATTTCTTCAGAGAAAAACAATGATTCACAGTCACACAAAACACCACCGTTCGCATTAGAAGCGCGTTGTCTGTAAAACACTTCACTCGGGCACGTGCCACGGACACCAGATATTCACCAGGAACTTGAACTGAATGTCAGGAGCAGAGCGCTCGCCGAAATGTTAACTTGCTGTTGCCACCACGAGTGCCGCCCGTGGCGAGTGTCTCGGTTTATTATAGGCGTCTGCAGCCTTTCTCTCGCTCTGCGTGTGCGTGTCGCCGCCCGCGTAACACGTCTTCAAGCAACAACGGCGTTCGCACGGACTGCCCTTCGTACGACGAGGACTCGGTATGGACTCTGGAAAACTCTGTGACATCGCGGGTCTTCACGCTACAGTCGGGCTCGTTTTGTGTTCTAGACGCACATTGACCCAGAAGCGAGGAGCGTCTCGTCTGTATTTGGGAGATACGGTCCCTGGATCGAATTTATAAGCCCATATTCTGCATTTTCCGCAGATTTTCGTAGCTTCATTCTACGTTGATATTATATTGTATTTTGGGAGGGCTCGGTTGGCTTGCGTTTGCTTCATCATCCTCAACTCTTCATACCGCAGTGAAGATTCTAACACCCATTTATTTTATTTAGTGTTCTGTCTGACGACAGGTCCATATGAACAGGATCCTTCCATCCTTTTCTCGGACTGGGACCTGTTCATATACGTTCTTGGCAGATGATCCAGAAGTGGTTTGACATTGCCTTCTTCTGTGTGTGAATGGAGTAATTGTGGGGATGCCACGGAGGAAAACCCCGTGTTGCCTAGACCACGGCCTTGACCAACACAAGTGTGAATGGAGTAATTGTTGGGATGCCACGGAGGAAAACTCCGTGTTGCCTAGACCACGGCCTTGCCCAACACAAGTTATAAATTCGGGCACCGCCGGGAATCGAACCCGGGACCCCAGGATTACAGAACAAACAGCGATTTTGTATTGAACATCCTTGACGGATGCACCGAGTATATTGTGATTCTTTGGTTACGGAAGAACGCTCTTCAACCTCGGAGATCACATGGCATTGAATGACATGAAACCAATCGTTAATGGGAAGTCGGTAATAATTTAGAAGGCTGTTGTGGCTCGTTTGAAGGTACCTTACAGTGTTTTTCCTGCCATATTTTTCTCGATCTCGCGCGTATAAATTCCCAGGGGAATTTCACCAAATATTCTGTAGCCTGTGCATAGTAGCTACAGGTGAGAATAATAAATGCATATTACATTTGGTTTATCTGTAGACTGCTTAAGTATCTTCAGACGGGAGACAACAACAGCGACGGGACTGAACATAATCGATCTAAAACCACTGAGAAAAACGACGCGACCGGAAGCGACTATAGAATTTTTTCCAATTTTTGTTAGATAAATGCCATATGTCATTCATGCACTAATAGCAGCCGGATAAACTAATGCACTAGCTTCACTCACATGTTTATAAGCCGACGCCCACAAACTGAGCGACCACGATTTTTTCAGAACTGACTCTTTCCACATAATTATTTGTTTATTTATAACTATGTTTCTATTGAAATTTTATTCTCTGTCGTAAAATCTCATTACAAACAGAGTAATGACAGTACAGGCTATTCCGTAAATCTTATAATGACTAATGGCTTTAGGTTGAAATATTACGACAGCCTACTCGACAAAAGTGTTGATGGGGGGGATATACTCGTAATGTATGAAGGTTAATACCAGCTGCGAACGTTTGATAGAATCAAACAAACTGCAAGTTTACAGGGACCTCCAGCTGGTGTCCAATGCCAGTTACATTTGTCGTGATAACTTAACAGTGTGATATTGTGGTGGTGGATTTCAGCTCTGTTCTTTCTGTGAAAAGCAAATAACACGATAGAACCTCGGACTTTTTAATGTCACTCGCGGGCTAATTTCATTTCGACCAATTTGCCTTGATGTTTTATATTGCTGATACAGATCGAGGTCATTAAAAGATATGTTTTTTATATATTATTAATCGTGTAATATTTGTGATTTAAATCTTGTAAAGGATATATCCCACTAGAACCCGCCACTGGGCCCTACGTCGATCAAATTTAATCCAATCCACCCCTCAGACATATTTTTTATCATTAATTTGAAGGATATACTTCCGTCTGCGTCTGATTCTCTCAAGTCGTCTTCACTGTTCAGGTTTTGTGACTAAAATGTCTGCATTTCATACCTATTCTGTCCTCCTTAGTTTGATCATCCTAATAACAATCCAGTCCACTCCCTCTTCAAATTCATTTCAGTATTATACTTCCATTTGCGTCCAGTTGCACGAATATCGAATTTGTTGCCACCGTGTTTTTTTTAATCGGGCGCCGTCAGTGCGTCGAAGTGAAACTCCACATCCACACGACTTCCTAGTTTCCCGCTAACACGATACTAATCTGAGAGCTGCATAAGGCAAATCGGATGAAAACTGAGATGTGCTCAGACTTGTTCTAAAAGTTGCATGCGTGCAAGTGGTACAGTGAGAATATTTTTAAACTCAATGTGATGTTCTTCGTCTCAAACCAACAGTGGAATGATGAGGACACTTCCAGCCTATTTTATAGATTTGTTAAAACAATTGATGGATTATATTATGTATGATTTGAGGTATTCACAGCGATGAGTATAAAGATTTCTGTCTTCTGGGTTCTTGCGCTGTGAAGTCTGGTAGATGTTTACCGACGTTTCAGAGGTCATACTGCCTCCGTCATCAGGGCGATGAGTATGAAGATTTCTGTCGTCTGGGTTGTTGCGCTGTGTAGTCTGGTCGATGTTAACCAACGTTTCAGAGGTCATACTGCCTCCGTCATCAGGGCGATGAGTATGAAGATTTCTGTCGTCTGGGTTGTTGCGCTGTGTAGTCTGGTCGATGTTAACCAACGTTTCAGAGGTCATACTGCCTCCGTCATCAGGGCGATGAGTATGAAGATTTCTGTCGTCTGGGTTGTTGCGCTGTGTAGTCTGGTCGATGTTAACCAACGTTTCAGAGGTCATACTGCCTCCGTCATCAGGGCGATGAGTATGAAGATTTCTGTCGTCTGGGTTGTTGCGCTGTGTAGTCTGGTCGATGTTAACCAACGTTTCAGAGGTCATACTGCCTCCGTCATCAGGGCGATGAGTATGAAGATTTCTGTCGTCTGGGTTGTTGCGCTGTGTAGTCTGGTCGATGTTAACCAACGTTTCAGAGGTCATACTGCCTCCGTCATCAGGGCGATGAGTATGAAGATTTCTGTCGTCTGGGTTGTTGCGCTGTGTAGTCTGGTCGATGTTAACCAACGTTTCAGAGGTCATACTGCCTCCGTCATCAGGGCGATGAGTATGAAGATTTCTGTCGTCTGGGTTGTTGCGCTGTGTAGTCTGGTCGATGTTAACCAACGTTTCAGAGGTCATACTGCCTCCGTCATCAGGGCGATGAGTATGAAGATTTCTGTCGTCTGGGTTGTTGCGCTGTGTAGTCTGGTCGATGTTAACCAACGTTTCAGAGGTCATACTGCCTCCGTCATCAGGGCGATGAATTCATCGCCCTGATGACGGAGGCATGTTACATGCCACAAGATGTAGGCCTAGACTTCATAACGGCCAATTGTTTTTATTTTAAACATATTTCAGCGTAGGACTACTGACTGTTTAACGAAGTACAAGAAAATTATTCCGAGTCCATGCATGCAATGTGACTAGCTCTGGAAACTGTAAACTTCTCATATAATAGAATGTATCCGCAATTAAAACTGACTTCAAGGCCGGTGACTTATGCACAATAGCAAAAGGAATTTGGCAAATATGTCATGTCAAGGAAACATTTATATCCTTCTCATATCCCCGGGTTTTATATTGGTTTGGAGTTCTGTCAGAATTTTTTGGCCAAACTATTCCCAAGGACAGAGTATTTTGGGAAAAGGAAAAATAGCTTTGTGTGATTGCATTGACACTTACGAAATTCCTTACTTTCATAGCCCTAGTGGTAAGGGGATATAAGAAGAATCCGTTACATTTTGTAGCCGGTGGGTCTCAGTTTGGGTGGAGTGCGGGTGGGGTTATGCCGAGCGTGTAGCATGTGGTGGGTAAAGAATGTGACCAGCCCACACCTTTACTTTCTTAACCAAGGACACTGTTACACGTGAGACTCAGTTACGTAATGGAACAGAACGAAGTGGCAGCGGTTTTGTTTTATTTCCTTGACAGATTATTCATTTATCGCCTTACTACAGCCTGTGTAACAAGTTCCTCATTCATAATTATTAACATCCAGTACCGGTTACAAGACCTAGAGAGTCATATTGGATTATAGTATTACGCATTATTTTGATCTGAAAACAGCTGTATAAAGTATTGCATTTGGGGGTCCTAAGATTGATGCCCCCGGCTGCATGTCTGGGCTCCTTTCAAATGTCCTACTTCGTCAAATTGTTAACTTGCACAATTTAAATAAGTACAGTTCTGATTGATTATAACGATGGTTTGTAACATTCAGTATTGCTGTTTATCTGGATTTTATCCATCGTACGTTGTTCTAAAATAAGACCGCTACGTTTCGAGGGCTGGATCTGCTCCCATCTTCAGGTGAAAGTAGCTAAATATATATTCTGTTGGGTCCAATGGAAGGGGCTATTCTGAATACCTGGATTGAGGCTGTCTCGTTTTAGAATATTCGACGATGTGATAAGTCCAGAAAGAAAGCAATATTAAACCAATAATCTTGGGAGTGCATATCATAATTGGATTTATAGACTGCTAACAGTATAAGGTATAGGGCCTCAGAGAACTCCACGGTGTTTTACCAGTCCGTGATTGAGACTAGAATGCGCAAAATGTTTGCTTCCAGTATTGGTCAACAAAGAGGTTTTGGCTTGGTGAACAGGCTGTAGAGACGGGTGGGTGTAGTCCGTGTTACAGTTACCGGAGCTGTTAGTAAAAACAACGGGTCCTTAACTGAGGCTGAATTGGTAAGAGATCAGCTTGGCCTTGCTTGCCCTGTGGACCTAATCTGGTTTACAAGGTCTGCCGAAGTCCGTGTCGATGAAAGTCATACAGATTTTAAAATCGGTGTCTGTATTATTTATCTAACTGTTGAAGCATTGCGTCTCAGTTACGAAAGTTATTCCTCATTTTATTAAGTTTTGGTTAATGACCTTTCGTGTTTATGGGTTTGAGAAATTATGTTCCGTTAGAACCCTGCTCGTGAATTTATATAATTTAAAACATGTTTAACCGTGGACACTTCTCAAGCCTTGGTCAATATCTCGTCACCAGCCTTTCGATGGCTCGTCGTATTTAGTGCACTGTAATCCTGGGGTCTCGGGTTCGATTCCCGGCGGTGCCCGAATTTATAACTTGTGTTGGGCAAGGCCGTGGTCTAGGCAACACGGAGTTTTCCTCCGTGGCATCCCAACAATTACTCCATTCACACACAGAAGAAGGCAATGGCAAACCACTTCTGGATGATCTGCCAAGAACGTATATGAACAGGTCCCAGTCCGAGAAAAGGATGGAAGGATCCTGTTCATATGGACCTGTCGTCAGACAGAACACTAAATAAATAAAAATAAATAACTCACAGCAGTGTCAATTTTTGTGACTTTGTTTCAAAAATGCCTTGCTCTCCATTATGACTTCAAAGCGTTAGTTAACATTGTCGTAATAAATAGTAATATTTGCGTCATTGCGCTGTTACATCGCCCGAGTCATGAAATAATTGCACTGTCCCTGTGGTAGCGCCAATTTCTATCGAGGTTACTCGTTTACTGTTCAACCACTGGTCAGTTTCAGCGTCTCTCTCCTCCTGTCTCTGTCTTTTTCGGGGAGAGTGGGGTGAGAAAATTGATAATAATTCGATACGAACTTCGGGTATTAGCCATTTAAGGGACACAAACCAATATTAAATGTAATTTGCAGCCTATTTTTGTGGGTAATGATATGTAGATGCAGGGCATTATACCGATGTTTCGGATACGCTGTCAGTAAGGATCTCCTAAACGTCGAATTTATTCTTACAGGAATGAAGCTTAAAACTTACCTCATTTATTGACTGTTCATAATTAAAACTTCTTAGGTAAATGTTAGTGAAAATAAGGTTTAGTACATGCATTAGCATAGTGATTTATAGAAATAAAAACTTCACCAACTACTGCTGACTTCCTCCACTGTTCTCAGACATTACCAGATTAATGCTTCTGTCTTATATCTTATATCTTAATTGCATCATGCTTGTGTTTCAATACAATACTTTTATTTTCCGCCGTTCTGTCTTATTTTTTATACATTTAATAAAATAAGGTTGCTGTCCTTACTCAGTATTATTATCCTCAACAGAAGCCACCCATATATATTTGGATATTAAACTTTTTAAACAAGAGTACGGTGGTGGTTAGTAATGTTGGTGTTACGATGAATCTTGTGGAAAAACATTTTTTTCCGTTTGATTATAAGCATTATGAATTCTCGCTATCTTTTTCCTCAATGCAACACTTGAGGCATTAATAATTGCAGAGCGCATTGGGTTTTCCCGTTTCTCTGGGAGGTCTGAAGATATCTGTGTTTTGTTGATAACCTTCGGGAGGGCGGAGTGTCCTGTTGGCGGTGTGTTGGTGTGGCTGGTTTGGGCGAGCTCTGAGCGGTCTGCAGGTCGTTGAAGAACTTTCCTCCTCATTGGAATCTACGCCAGTAACTTTCCCATTGAATGTTGGCAACAATATGTTTGTTAAACATTCTCTTCAAAGTTTTTCACCACGAACTTCACTTTAAAATTGTTTCCTCATAAATTTGTTGAGTAAATGAATAATTCAACGTCTCTATTACAGGAAATCCTTGCTGGCTTCTTTCGATCGTTCAGCGCTAGTGACTTTAACGCGGGGCATTAAATCCATCTTGCACGAATGATCAGTAGTGTGAATCCTTTATTATGCGAATGAGAATGTTAATTTTCTATGCTTTCGTCCTGGAAGCGATTGGATTGACTTATTGCGTGAATTTCCTCAGTTGCTCTCTCCTTCCTTCATATTTATAGAGTGCAGGTTTGTATATCCCAATATAAGTAGAAGGACAAAGTTTTACCTCAGATATTTCTTTTGCTAATAAGAATGGTGTAATAATTAATTACGTCCTGAAGGAAAAGGAAGAATAATATACAACACAGCATTTACTTAACGTACAAATCTGTTTAATATTAGAACTGAAGTACGCTTATAATATATAACAACTAATCTTAAGAATATTTTACTATACACAGAAGCACATCCAAATAATAATCACATTCATAGTTAGAATCGCAAGGGTAACAGTCAATAGATTCAACAACAACAATATAATAATTAAATATAAGAGTATTCGTGTTTGATTACAAAGTTGGTACAGTAAAATACTAATCGAGTTATAACAAAATACTTCTTTAAATACATCTTATATTAACCTTTTAGAGGCGTTATTTAAACTGTAATTTCATTTCTATGTCTACGGATTAAAACATTCGAAGGACTCCAGAGTTTAATATAACAAGTTTATTTTAGTAGTGAGACCTTGGCATAGGTTTTTTTTTCGCATTCCATCAGTTCAGTCAAGACAAAGAAACTTAACAAAATCACGTTCTGCACTTGTATTTATGATTTGTATCACATTTATCAACAACTTTATGTACATAATATTGTTTATAAACTATTTTCGTAATGGCAGCAAACATATCTTTGTTCAGACGTACGAAGGATTGTTGTGCCGGTTTGTGAATCGTCGTGGGCTTTGCCTTCCTTTGTTTCAGGACGAGACCTACAGACTAAAGAAATATTCGGTAAATTGCTGAGACGCTCAACTTTCGCACGATTTGACCAGCGGATGGAGAGAGACACTGGCACCGGCACAGCCTACTCTGTTCTGGATGTAATCGTGGAAGTTAGACTCCAGAACCCACATGAGACGTTTATAACCGGGCACAACATGTGTGGCCAGCCGACATTCGGTACCTTTCTGGACAAGCAAGAAATTATCGGACTTGAAGGATGTTTCTGTATTCCACATATAGATGTCACTTTCACCCTTCAGACGGAAGAACATCGCAGAACCATTATCCGTGCCTAGAATAACAATACTGCGATGCTTGGGACCAACATCCACAACGGTGCCCTTGGCAGATCCTCGACGGAGGTGGTGGGCCTTGATTGAGAAGAGTCGTGCACTTGACAGGTAAGTGAAATATAAAACGTTTGTACCACAGGATTTCCTAATGAGAGCAAGATAAAGTACGTCTTTGGTAGACGATCCCTTTGTCACGGCTTTGGGCAACACGACACGGTAACCTTTGCTGTTTGTGACGTCATATACAAGAATCGCCCGCGTCGCAGCGTCACTAACATACGCATAGCAGCGTCCATCTTGATCGTAGTCCACCACGAGGTACTGGAGTCTGCTGGCAGAGCAAACCAATTCTGATAGATCGATCACTTTTACCACTTTTCCTGTCTTCGCGCTGATAGCTACGATCTTAGGAGGACAGCGCCTGATCGGTTGCTCTAGAGTGTTGACGATACCAACATCCAGGACCCAAAGGATGTCCTGAGCGTCAAGAAATATGTCGACGGCAGACTGCAGTGCCTGACAGTTACCTTCTTCTTGGAGACTCCAACAAGGAAATGGGGTTATCACTGGGTGACAGTTCTTGGATCTGAGCGGCATTTTGCCCAGTGTGAAAGGCACGCCTGTCTTGTAACGAGGCGTCAGGACGATAGCCTCGTCCTTGTAGATCTGTACTCTCGTAGTGATGACGTGCTTCGAGATGTAGCGTCCTGATGAGGTGTAGATGCTCTTTGTGGACGAGCACGGCCAGTCCAGGTTGGCGCCGTCCAACGTGAATGTGAGGTCTGGGAGCAGTTGCTTGTTGCACGATCCGGACGCAGAGCAGACCGGAGCGACTGCTGCCACAGCGAGCAACCAGATAACTTGAGACCGCATTCTGAAACAGGGCGTCTCTGGAGTAAATTACGAGTTTTGTTCAACTCCCGTCATGCAACCTCCGCACTTCTCGATCAGGCAATCTGAAAATAAGAAGTGGTCGTCACAGTAACCTCACATAAATGCCGTCGGGTTACCACACACAATTCTCCACCATTAAAACCATTTTCGCCGTTTTGTGCTGTAACCGTCTCCGGAAACACCACGACCGAGTCATGACTGTACACCAGTTGGTTCTGTTACGGATGTTCCAGCATCCAAATTCAGATGCGTTTTTTAAGTTATATATTTGAGTCGGGTTACCACACACAATTTTCCACCATTAAAACCATTTTCGCCTTTTTGTGCTGCAACCGTCTCCGGAAACACCACGACCGATTCATGGCTGTACACCAGTGAGTTCTGTTACGGATGTCCCAGAATCCAAATTCAGATGCGTTTTTTAAGTTTCCTTCTTCGACAGATTAAAATACTTACGTATTCTTTTATATGGCTGTGAAACTTTACTACTGGCCCTACATACTTTGCATTTGTGAAACTGAAATTGAATTTACAGACGATGTTCATAATTCGCAGCCCTTCGTGGGTTCTTGTTCCTAGCGGAAGTCTCACCTGAAGAATTTAACTAGGAGCCTATGGACGAGTCGAAATACACACACAACTTTCAAGTGTGATTGCTTCAAAGCCCTCGGCTCTTTTTTATACCAACTTTCGTCTGTCAACGCAGCCACTTGGTTCAACGTAACGTTACGACCAATCCTTGACCAGTGTTGTGCTGGCCTCAGCAGTAGCGTCTTCTTATTACGGGCGGTTGTTTCCTTTTTCCGACTGCGTTGCATTTTGCAACCTCGCCGTACAATATTCCGCTGATTCCAGTTGCACCGCTTGTTTTGTTGACACTTGTCAAGGTCTGGTCTTCCTGTCATGGCCGTTCGTTCGCTGCACCAAGAGTTGCATGTTCGAATGCATTCAGGGCCATTAATGTTTGTGTAGTGTTTTACTATTGAGATTAATGGTAACCGTAGGTCCGCAGTCTTCTCGGCTACCGAAGACTGTCTGCATAATAGGAACACTTATCTCCCCATATACGTTAGGTTTAGAATACTTGGCACTGAATTTCTAAATATTCCCGATCAATCTACGGCCCGCGGACCTCCATGAGTCGTACTGTTCCGGCTCAGAAACCCATAATAACTTTCTTTCAAGCATTCCAGTGCCGTTGTTTTTAATTCTTAATTACCGGTAGTCGTTTTGACATGTGGAAGACACCATTGTTCATCAGAGATATGGAGTCCATCTTTAATGCAGCGTGAAGTTCGTTGCACTCTCCAGCATCTTCTGAAGGGATAATCACTCAACAGTTT